AAAAAAAAAACAAAATTATAATTGTTTCTACTGAAGAATAATCATGCAAAAAAGAATCGGATATTTTGTTGGCCTACGATGTATTAATATCTTCTCATATTTCTATTGAAATAATACTATTTGAACCTAATTTACTACCTAATATATTATCCCCCTTTGATGAGTAGTGGGTTTCAATTAGAAGTGAGAATCAATGTCCATTCAATGATAATAATTGACTAGGTTAAAGAAGGTTAGTGACTTATGTTCAAGTAGCATGAAAATAAGTCTTTTGAACTTGAGAAAGATGTCATGTGCTCATGTGTTTCAATGATAGGTAATGCGGGTTTAAATCCAAAATCAAAACCTCCAAAAAAATAGAAACAAGACGCTTTACCTCTTACTTCTCGGAGACGTCATTATAAACGAGAGTCTCGTACATTCGTTATTGATGTAATCAATTACATCGTGCCCACTCAATCAATGATTAGCTGAAATGAGGATTGGCCAAAACCAAGGAGGAGTAGTTTGGAGTTTAAATTCTTTCCATGTACAGTTCCTATACTGTTGCACAGTGATCGAGAGCAAATCCCTCTAATTGTACCAGTCATGAACTGTATATAAAGAAAGCACAAAACATCTATGTGTGTGTGTGTGATTTTCTCCTAAAGGTTCTCTTTTTCTTTACATTGCAGAATCAGCCAAAAAAAAAAAGAAAAAATTGTGTATGGGAATAAAGTTGTGGAAAATAATTGTTCAAGATAAACTTTATATCCAGGCAAGTTTGATTGCTTAATTTCACGACGTCGAACCCGCAACAATGAATATTGCTCGTCAATGAAAGAATACATCGTGGATTTAAGTATAGGATTCAGCCTCGTTAAAAATAAGGGTACGAGAAATAAATAAAAAACAATAAAGTAAAGTACAATAACGAATACAGATAATACTTCTCAATCCTCTCAGAAATCTTTGATATTATTGATTATACCTAGAAGTTGCAGGAAGAAAGAAGATAAACACTGATTGAATGCTGTATATAGAGGATAACAATGTTGATTGATGAGCAGTGTTAGTGACAGTGGTCACCTTGATAAGAAAAGCTTTAGGTTGTGTACAATAAAAGCATTAGCTTCCTTTAATGAAAGTTAGTTTTCGGGTTCGCCCTTCCCTTTATAAGGATTCGTCCATATAATAATGTTTAAATATGTACAACGATTCATCTAGTTTACTCTTAAAGAGAAGCGAAAACTCCTAAGAGAAGGAGATGAGAGCCGTTGAGTAGAAATCTTGTTTCCACCACATAAGTCTTATATCTAGTTAGTAAAGCTCATACTTCTTATTTGTTCGTGAGATGTAGGAGTCTTGAAAACCCGAACTAACTCTCAGTGATGATTCATCTTATACTTCAAGCAATAAATTCATCGATTTTCATTTACAAAAAAAAAAAAAAAAAATTGGGTAGGCTTCAAAAGGCCAAACATTCAAAACCTAATGTGAATGTGTGCATGGTACTTTAGAGCACTGTAATGAAACTATGACAGTGTCTGATCTCACCTTTTGGTCGTGCCCAAGCCAGAAATTCACTTGCATGGAACTTTTAGCAAATGTGACTCTTGCATAGATCGGATCAGTGGTTGAATAAGAGATCAAGTATAATTCGTACATCTTCAGTCTTGGTTGAACCGTAAATCCAAAGTTTACATCGTAATTATGAGTTTAAAAGACAAGTGATCGGAACAATTCCACGTTAACAGAAAAAAAATATCACTTTTAAGAGATGTGGGGGCAAAATAAAACCATTGCACAAAGGATACACAGTGAAGGAATAATTAATACCTGAGGATCTCATCAATTGAATAATGCTGNCGTTAACAGAAAAAAAATAACACTTTTAAGAGATGTGGGGGCAAAATAAAACCATTGCACAAAGGATACACAGTGAAGGAATAATTAATACCTGAGGATCTCATCAATTGAATAATGCTGCAAAGAAAACAGTTTCATGCTATTGCTTGTTCGATGCCAATCTAAGGATAATGAACCTAGCAAGATGCATAACCCTAATGTTGGTGAGGATTTATAATGTTTCAATGTCATAGTATGACAAAGTTATAGTTTCTCCAGCCATTTTTGGTTGGTCAATTTTCATTTTCTGGAGAGAAATCAAAAACTTTGTAGTCACAAATAGATTTAGCTTGAAAGTATATGATAGGCTGATAGCCAACATATTTGAGTTCCGAAGTATACCTGGATTTAGTTTTTCTCAATGATAGATAGTCGGCTATGAATTCAAGAGGGATTCAATGATCTACTATAACTCCATCAATTCGGGATGGTGATTTAAGATTAAAAGAAATTGCAAAAAAAAATATATTCGACGGAATCTAGCTTAATATGTGAAAAAGTTAGCAATTTCTTCTATGGTTAGGATTAAATCCTACCTTAATCTTGTTTGAAGGATTTTATGGATAAGGAAAGGCCACCATCTTTGTATAGTCCATTATTTCAATTAGACTGAAAAAGTATAATAAGGAAAAAAAACACTTTGGAATGCTAATAGAAATCATCAGCAATATATCAAAAACATCATGGTAAAGACTGTAGGATTGTTATATCCTAGATCGGCATCGAATAAATAACAGCACAAATTTTGGGAGTAAGCTGGTTTGGACATTCCAAATCAGGGAGGGGATTAACCGAGGTGCGCATAAGTTGATCCGGACACCCCTAACTCTTAAATTAAAAGAAAAAAATACTAAGGAACTTAAAACCTATCAAGGTATGATCATGCCAAGAGACTTTGATGGTGCTTCAATTTATAGCACTTCTCCTACACATAATCTGAGCTAAAGGTGGTTTTAGATTATAAAGCAACAAAATAAATGCAATAGATTAGTAGCTTTTGGTTTTTTTGCATCTTTATAAGGTAAAACATTAAATTCAATAGATGAATAGTGGATTTTTAGAATCCATTTAAGATGTCGAGGGTCTTAATAGTGTAATTAAAGATTACAAATTACGGAATTTAATGTTTAATATAATTTGAGGAAAAAAAGTATATATTTATAGTTCAGGTGTAGGCGCCCGATGGCTCTATGAGGGACGGGTGATTGGTCCCCTAAAATCTAGAAAATCCCTCTTATTATAATGTAATTAGCCATAAAAAAAAAAAATTCGTCCCCACATATGTTTGAAAAAATAATAATATGAGGCTTTTTAAATTTTTTGTGAGGGATAATATTCGAATTTTAAATCATTAAGGGGAATGACATTATGACACTTTGCTCTTGATTGATATTAAAATTTTTACATTGTTCTAATAAAGATTAAAAGTCTCATTCTACCTTAAGTTTCTTTAAATGACGGTGATATACCTTTTTTAAACCCATTTTTCACAAATTAATTCTCCAATTGTGGCACATTGATATAAAATAAACACACCAATATACAAAAAACACGCACAACCGCAATCTCTATAAACACACGTTGTTGTAAACAAACAAGCACACATTGTAATAAAAACTCAAAACATTGTGATTAATAAACTAATAAAGATACATACACACATTATCGAATATTTTTCTGATTTTTCGAAATATACACCATGTGACAGACTTGATAATATAAGTTTAGGTTGGTTTGTCTTACTCAGATGTTTTTTTAAAAAATATAATTACCTCAAAAATATTAAGACAATGTTTAATTGACATGATTAATTTTTTTAAAAATATTATAATTATTTGTAGATGTAGTTTCAAACAATATTAACCTCCTAAATTTGTTACTTTTTATTTTAAAACAAAATAAATTATTTTACTTTCTGAAAAAAAACATGGATTATTTTCTCATTACTATATTTCTCTCGTATAACTTTTCTTTTAATATATAACATGGTATTAGCTCTATAAGTACAAATACAAAAATTGTGAGATGTCATTTAACTTAATTACACATATTTTGCATATTATATATATATATATATATACAGGATCAAGATTATGATTTGTGGCTTCTCGATTGTGGGTCAATTGGATGTTAGGGTTACAATTGAAGGTCAAAAATTGGGCATCGCAAACCTGGAGTCATGCAAATCCAGATCGTGGGATGCATGGTACGGGTTTGAATCCTCTCTAATTTCACAAGAGTTTGAAGATCTTCCAATTCAGTTTTGAATGATTAAGATTTATACTCACCAGCAGATTTAGTAGATTTTGAATCAATTAAATCTACTCGTGTATAAATTTTCACCATTCAAAGAGAATTGAAGTATCCTCCAGTTCCTTAACCTCTATGACAAAGACTTTATCAGGACCATAAAAACTTGAAACATTCATGTCAATATGAATGCTAATAATATTTTACAATCACATATTGTACACAATTTTGCAATTCAAGAAGGCGTCGTCGCGCATTAAAAATCTTGTATTTGAAATGCAATTAAGTGAAAACACTCGAACGCCGGACAGTTTCACCTGAAAGAATGGAGCTCTTATCTGAAGCAATTGTCTACTGTGGGTATGTTGCTATATACAACAATGGTCAAAGAAGGTGCTAATTCAAAGCTTGGCTGCAAATGTAGTACCCCCCCAGCTTCTTCAACTGATTGGTAAGCTCTTATCTCCATTGGTTTGTGAACTTGCAGCAACAGTTTGGTAATTTGATTTCACATTCTGAAAAGACAAATTCTCAAAGCAACCGAAATAAACGACATGTTATGTTTAATGAAAATATGGCATTCAGGTATAGAAATTACAAACGGCTACTACCTCCAGCAATGTAATGTAATAGAAATCTTCCATATGCTGCATAAGTGCACTGCCGTCTCTGATTGAGCGGAAAATATTTATCTCAGTGTTTAGTATTTTTTCAACAAGTTCCTTCTCACCTTTCATCTGTATAAATGTTCACCATCAGAATAAGATTGGCAATCAGAATGGTAATTCTTATCTATATGTAGAGCAATGTCACTGAAGTGGACATTACATAAGAAAGAAACGTTGTCCAATTAAGTGAATAAGTCCCGAGTTAAACAGTAGAGGTGATATTCTTCTTACCATAATAACCCTAATGAGACGTTTTCAGCCTCACTTGAGATTGATTTAGGTTTCCACCTAGATTATCAAGTGTAATGCCTACAATTTTGAAACACTTGTACATGTGCCAAGTGATTGTTGTGTATATGTGTGATACAAAAAAGGAAATCCATAGTTTCAACTATCACTTTGTGCACAATGTCATATAAATTTCATGGGTATGTATTTTAAAGCTCACAAGTCAGAAGCTAAATTCATTTAACTAGGAAGAAAACTAGCAGTGATGCACAGGAAAAATGCAAGAATGCCCACAGTCAATCGAAGGAAAAAACATATATCGGAAGGTTAAAAATTGATTTGAAACTTTAAATAAATTACTACATTTAAATAAATTATAAAGATACAAAGCAACGATGTTACACATCATTGTCAATTGCTTGAGAACTTCAAATTTTTGTTTAGCAAAACTTTTGTTCCAACCGAGTAATCTGTTGAAATCATAGCATCAATCAGACAGAACAAGTAACAAACATGATATATGCACCACCTACCATTAGTAATGACATTGACAACCTCGTAAAGTGATTACGTCATCCAATATTCTTTCCTATATACCCAAACTACCCTTGGATGAACATAATTTAAGTTATTCTTATGCCCAAACATCTCTTATTTTTCAACGGAGTGAACTTCTATCTTCTCCTCTTCCCACTACTCCTTCAGATACTCACACAGCTCAGCC